AAGGTTAGCGGCGTCGTCATCGTCGTTGGTCGGGTCGTTAAGACCTACCAGTTGGGAAACTCTAGTTTTCAACTTGACGAAGAGAGGCTGCACAACGGAATAAGCTTTTGGGATTAGAGGCAAATTTGTCCATAAGCTTTGTCTGATACTGAAGCCTATCTTCTCTTATAGCCTTCGTGCATATGTTCCTTATATGTTTATATTGCCTGTACGCTCCGTCGTTATCAGTTCGTTTGTATTCCGCTCAACAATGCCTTTTGCGGCTTAGCAGGCGAATAGTGCGGTTCTTTATTATTGTAGGTGGCTTGCAGCTTTTGGGAACCGTTTGAGGAACTGAATGGTTTGTAGCACGTAAGAGCGTGTGCAGTAAGAAGTCCCAATGACCGTCCATATCGAGTTGGGGGTGAGCATCCCAAACCACCTGTTGTACATAGTCGTGTATAGCTGACACATTCAACCGTTTAAAATTCCAACGCAAGTTATTGGTGGGGTACCTTATATAAATTTTGCTGACAAAACTAAAGGCTATGACGTAATGATCGCTTTTTCCCAGGGGAGACATGATTGAGAGGTTGTCAACTAGAAATTCTTCGTTTGTGAATACAGTCTAAGCGCGATGGCGTCTGACTGTTTCTCCAACGAGTTGCCGACCTCACATTTTCGTACAATCCCAAGTCATCGATGAGGTTGAAGAACCGAGCTTCAATTTAGTTGTTGCCTCCAGTATACGTGTGTTCCGCGAAGTTGACTCTAGGGAAATTAAAGTCCCCTAGAATCAGGATGTGTGTGAAACCGAGACGGGTAGAGCGGGATAGTCCTTCCAGCATACGACTATCGTACTCGATGTCGGCAGTTGCCTTCCTGTAAATGACTCCGACTAGACACCTCGAAGTACTAGACAATCTTACAGAGCACCATATGGATTCCTCAAGATTGTTAAACTCGAGGTTGTGAACTTGGTGCACCTCCAAGCAAGAGCTTATGTATATGGCTACTCCGCCCCCAATTCCTGTTTTTCTGTCGTTGCGGAACAAAGTCATCCCAGGTAATGCTAACTCTTGGTCCGAGAACTGAGAAGATATCCAGGTTTCAGATATTCCTATCAGATGGACCTTATTAGCATTGCTAAGTTCACGTAGTTCATTCAAGTTGTTTAGTAGACTCGCGGCGTTCATATATAAGCAGTTTATGCTTTTAATTTGGAACGCGTGAGCTTCTTCCTGTTTGTTTGTATGAGCCTTACGTGAATGGACAGGTAGCCCACCTAAATGAGGTTTGCCGAGGTGGTAGGCCATGTCATTTACACGATTTTTTGTCGTCTAGACAGTTTACAAGTGGAATGGTCAGCTCCAACTTGCCTTTGTGTTTGGTCCTAGCTTCGTATGGCCTATCAGGGTGCATATGGATTCCAGGTGGCAGTCGACGTCTGTTGGCACGAAATGCTTACAGAGTTGCGGCCACCATATGTAAAGATGGGAAGGTTATCTTCATTAGACGGGGTCTAGTATCACCATCCTTCTTGGCTAGTTTCGTCACATGCTGAGTCAGTATGTTTTTGAGCCTCAAGGACTGTTTGATGAATTTCCATTCCCTGATGTCAGTCTTTGATTGAGTAGGGTCCGTATTTTCCTGTATACCTTGCACGATTATATTCCTCCCGCGGAAAAACTGATCGCGAGTTTCTTTGGGGATGTTCCGGATGAGATTGCGCTCAGAATACGGTATGTCAGGCAGTATTCTTATTATTATTCACAAACATCTTATAAGTAAATAAGTGTTGTGAAGAAACCATTTCGCGTTTCTTTAAAAACTACAATAATACACAATTTTTAATAATGTCAGCATTATACTTGCCATATTAAAAAAATTTAGAGTAATAATAGTAGAATATTAATAATAATCAATCGGGTCTGTGTTACTGCGAAGGAAATGGAGAAAATAAGGGAATAGAAATAAAGGAGACGTGAAATACGCAAACAGTTTAATTGGCGTGTTTATGAACATAAAACAAGAACAAACGACTATGTATATATCGTCAAATTAGTAACAAAAAATAATTAAGAAAAAATAACTTATTATCGCAGTAAGATATGACGCTAGAATAAATGTTTGTGCAGTCATAGCTTGGAGTGATACTATGAAAGTCTCAATTAAGTGAAAAGGATAACGAAATACCAATATGTATGAGTCATATATGCACAGTGAAGATAAAACGGGTCTGAGAAGTTAATTTGAGTGTGACACAAGTTATTATCTTAATTACAAACTTCGTAATCTTAAGAATAATATTTATTTAGAGGGAAAGAAGAGAGAAAAGAAGTGAACACCTAGTGAAAAGTTTCATCCATGATAAGAATAATAATTGTGTAATGAATATCAACCTCAGAAGGAAACTAGCAATTGAAAAAATAAAATAAAAATCCTTTAAAGCACTCGGATGAATACATTTAGATTTATGTAATAGTATACAGAGTGAAACAGGATATTAGCATAAATATTTGTGCAATAATAATTAAGAATGATGCTATGAAAGTCACAATTAATTTCAAAGGACAGTCAGGAATTAAGATAAGAAGATATAAAAGGACTATCTAATATGTCAGGGGAACAATAATGATATTAATAACAGTAATAATTATAGATACGAACATAAGCAGACTTCATATATCAAGATGAATAGAAATGAAATAAAATAGACGTGAAGAGATTTAAAGGTTTCATTTTGCTTATCAGGCAGTTAAATAGATGACGGACCTTGTTTGTATAAATCATTATTAAATGCATTGATATTCAGTAGGTGACATAGTCCACTTTCGGAAAGAAAATCGCCAAGCAGACTTCTGAACCGGGTTGTAGTTTCACTGCAATGGAGGTTCACTGGCAGTCTGTTTCACATGGTTGAGTAGCGAATAAGGAAAACATTCCGACGTAAGTTTGTGTGGGCTCTTCGAATCGCTAGAATATTCTCCTTATTGCGTAGATTGTGTGATGATATCATAAGGTATGAAGGGGCGGATACCGAAGAGTAGGAAATACCGTTAATAAGCCGGTAGATGAAGACAAGATTTAATTTGATACGTCTGATCCAAAGAGGTTCTAAGTTGAGTTGTTGACATCTTTGGTGATAGTCTTTGTTATCAGAATACCCCAGAACAGCTTTGGTGAACTTTCTTTGAACACCGTCAGTTTTAATCAGATCATTATGTCTGCAATTACTATAAACTAAAATACCATGTTCAAGAATAGGTAAGATACATTTTCTGTATAATAACAATCTTGATTCGATATTATTGACGTTGATCATTATCAATCCGATGAGCTTTCTGGCTTTGGATACTTGAGATATAATGTGCTCAGAAAAGTCAAGACTGTTACTACATCTTAAACCCAGGTCACGAACATTCCCATCTGATTTCAGTAAATGACTCGCTAGTAAGACATCCTCTACGTCGGTAGTTTTACAAGAAGTAGCCTCGGGTGATTTTAATGCTTAGATTCCTTTCCCCGAGTGAGTCGTGTGACTGTCAAAGGCTCTATTCTTGGAAGTCCACTTTTCTTGTTCAATTCTCCCCAGAACATCCTATCATTTTTGTCCTGCAAACTGAGAGGAAGGTCAGGGTTGTCTTTGAAGTTCATGACTATGAGAGAGTCATCACGAACCGTTATTGTCGTCCCAGGTTTTCCGATGCGTTCAGGTTTAGCACCTTGTTGTTTGGGGGTCGAAGCACGTTTATGTATCCTTGGCTCTTTGTTGACCGGACGGACAATCTTGGGGGTAGACTGTGCGAGCAGATCACCAGTTGACTTCCGTTCAACAACTGGGTTGTTCAACTTAGACTGTGACGCCTGGCCCCTTTTAGCTCTTTTGACATGGGTCCAATCACCTACAGAGTTTTCGGGAACCACTGTCGCGTTCAAGGACCTTGTGCTGTGAGACCCGAGTTTGCCAATGGAGTCGAGTACCGTCGTCGTAATCATGGTGCTGAGTTTCAGAGTGTCATCATTATTGCTGTTGCATGCTCCGTCGTTGGTAGACCTGTCGACATCCCTGTTCTCGTATTCAATGCGCTCTCTTGTTTTTCTACCTATTTTTTGACTGTCTTTTCCCATATTTGCCGACAACTTGCTCTGCAGACCTGTCAGTAGGACAATGATATTACTCAGCAAGACTGCAGCATCCGTGCTGCACGTAACACATTTCCACTTATGATCCGACTTGCCGAGTCTGTTGTGAGCAGTTGCTGTGAGATCTGTGCACACTTCGTGGAACCAACCATTGCAGTTGTCGCATTGCATTCCAGATGTCACAGCTAAACGGCATCCAGGTCGTTTGCATAAATTTTTCATGACTGTATTGACGTAAACTGTGTTGAAGATGCTAGTAAAAGCCTAAGGCTGTTAAAAATACACGAAAAAGCACACTGAAAACGGACAAAAATGGATAAAACGGATGAGATAAACTGAACTAATCTTTACGTGAAAAACTGGAAAACAACCGAATAGTAAGCTGAGGGAAAACCACAGTTAACTATGAAATGGGGTGAAAGTAAAAAAAGTAATCTACCGAACGTATAGCTCAGGATAGATTCTTTTGATCGGAAATGGTACTTTCGTTACGGAAGAACACAGCAAAAGTTTGATAAATGCAAATCACGTTAGGACTAAATTTCCCGTTCGAAAAGCGCGGTTGTTCCTCCTAATTAGGACTGGTCATATAGGGGATATACTCAGAAAATTATATATAGTAAGATCAACTTGTTTCTACTAAAGATTCGTATCCAGCTTGGGAACAAGATATACGGGAATTATTTGCTTGAAGAAATAGTATCATTGCCTTTTGTTGATATTCACAGCACTGAAAGTGGAAAAGATAAACAAAGATCAGTTAACACTTTTGGGAAGCAAGTACATACCTAATAATAGATTTTATGGCTAATCAATGAGTTTGAATGTTTATTGGCCAAATTGTGTTTTAATGTAGTAAATGAGAAAAGCCGGCCAAGGTATTGAAATTGCGTAATGGCAGAGCTAATTTTATTTTACTTTGATTATAATCTGCGATTTCCTTGAACCTTTAAATGTACTGAAAGTAAGTCATAATGAATTTTGATGTTTATTTTCGTATCTCGTCTATTGCCATAAGTGTGCTTTTTGAGGGGACTGGAAACAGCTGATAGCTTCATGTGCAAATAGAAGGCAGTATGTGACATGCAGATAGTAACTATAAAATACCAACAGTACGTTCTTACTGTTTTCACTGTTTGTGTCCGTATAAAAGACGCCGGATTTGTAAATATTGAAAGCTATTCTGCTGCACATGTCAAACTACACACCCCTTAACTTATAAAAAATGAAACAAAAGTGATCCATCCCTTCCAGCTTAATTAGTCATATAGTACTAGTTATCAGTCCAAAACGTTCGGTTCAGCCTTATGCAGCAATAACGATCGTTTTCCGCTCTACCTTGTTGCCGATTCCCTCGTAAAGGATCAATCATACGTTATAAGCTTTCATTCTAGTTGCTGATACCATTGGTAAGTTGTAAGTGTTGGTTACCATGATAAACGCGGAATATCGACCAGAGTAGACGGCTAAAGACTCTAAACTGTTATAGCAATCCAGAGAAATAAGATATTGGGACTTAAGTAGTTATTAAACATACTCCATCATAAAAATCAACCTCATAAAGTGAAAATTCCCAGGGACTCGATCGATTCGTATAAGATGTTAAAAATTCCACTGACTGATTTTACATCTTTGAATACCCAAATGTCAGAATAGGCTAGTTGATTGAAGTCCTCGCGATTCTAACAAATGATTGAAGACTGAGTGGCATGAAGCTGAGTTGGTCGCAACAGAGCAGATGTATGTCTTTATCTCCCCTTAAATTCTAAGCTTTTCATCCCACAAACATTTCTTCGACCGTGTCATTCATAATTATTTTTCTCCACTACTACTGACACTGTTACTACTTTTGTCAACCTAATATCTTCCTATGCTGTTGTGTGGCAATGTATGTCGAGTTACATGTATACCAGGTTCTAGGTTGTTTATAAGTGACTCACTGAGCATTTTAAGCATGACCCCACGTAGGTGAGACATGAAATCACAATTATATCCTTACAGCACGACTAGAAAACAAAACTTGATAAATACTACGTCGGAATATACCGTAGTTTCGGAGTTATTGCTTGAAATTATCCCCAGGCTTTCGTTTCTAAACTGGTGACGCTGTTCAGTTAATAAGTTACTGTTGTGAATGGCTGTGACCTGTATCTATTAGTGAACTCTTGGGATTATTTTTAAAAATACCTAATCAGTTCATTCAAAGTATCCTGCAGTTAAAGCCCGTTATTTCTACTGAATACCACCGTTCTGAAATACGAATCCTGATTGTTTATAGTTGACACTTCCTAAGAAGTAGGAAGAGTGAGGACCTTTATTCGTTAATTTGTGATACAACATTCTTTAAATCTATATTTAGGTGTTCTGTCCATTTCTACTACCTGTCCGACCATAAAAAGTCTCATCATCATTTTACTGTCAGTAGACTCAGATCTAGTTTTTACACAAGCTCCACACATAAAACTAGGTGTTTTGTTAAGGTTTTCAATGAGCAGACTTATCTAGAACTACTACTAGTGCTTCCTCGCATTGTTTACCAGGTTAAAGAGGACAGTACCAAAACTGGTTGATCTAGTTTCAGATGACTGTGTTTGATTGTGATAGTAATCTATCATAAAGGGCTTTTCCCAAAAACTTTAACAGCACCAGTCATGTTGACGAACCGGGGAATATCGAAGAGTTGTTGATGCTACAATCTACAGGGTTGATTGTATGATAAGCGGGTTGCTACTACTATGAGTGTAACCCAAGAAAATCCATATCTCGCCAATCAGCAGGTAAACGGTATCAAACAATGTCATAACAGTGTAATTCGTGGTCGTGACAATGTCTATTGGTCATGTCCCGACCGTTGTTGCTACCTTGACGTGGTGGTCGGGCTTGCCTATCGTGATGAAGCAACCGAGCTATACTGGCTGGAACAACCGTTCCTCAAGGTCCTACCATGTCAGACAGGTCGGTTGAAGAGCGGTAAGACTAAAAGCAACAAACCCAAGGTCCGAAGGCGAAGTCGTACTGCTGACTGTACAGAGGTGTGACAGCAGTAAAGTGTTTCCTTCAGACAACCAGCATGACAGCGATGCTGCCTTCCCACAAGGAGGGGTGGGGTTAGAAAAGGTCGACCCTAAAAATGCACACCTCGCCTTATCCCACGGATATCCGTCTCCGGCGGTAAGGTCTCAATAAGTACGGAGCTAACACAAAAATTACCCATAACAAGGTCGTGTGTGACCGACCTCAAGCAGTTGTCCCTTGGGCACTGCGGTCACGCTCTCAGGTCACTAAGACCACCTTTAATCCAAATTCCTTTTCAGGTACCTCCAGAACAACCCTTCCACGGTGTGGGCAACCGGGAAGTGAAAACCGCCCTCATACCTCTAACAGCACTCAAGACCACTGACTATTGGTCATGTATTTAGATGGGAAAATATAGAGCCATACACCAAATATACGAGAGTGTGGCTGCAATAATGTTTCTGATGAATAACCAGCATCCACAACAATGTTCCAGGTATAGCTCCTTATGAAAACCACTTGGTTTGGTCTGGGCACACGGGCAGTACCCGAGCCCTCATACAAATTGAACGATTTATGTGGCGCATATATATTTGGTGCCTCCTTGTACCAATTTTCGTGTTTAAATAAATAAATGCTACCCAATGAGTGGAGGTGGTTAGGAAAGGTTGACCCTTCACTTCGTATTGCTCTATAGATTCCGGTGCCGGCTGTTAGTCTTTAATACTGTGGAGCTAACATATCAAAGACTCACAAAAAGACCGTCTATAACGGGCTACAAACGTTTGTTCCTTGCACCTTGTGACCACACTATCAGGTTGTCAAAACCATTTCTAACTCCGTTTCCATTTCGGGTACCTCAAACTGTGTCCTTTAACGAGATGGCCGACCGGGAAGTGACAACCACCCTCATAACTTTAATAACTCTGGAAATCACTTTGTTTACAGTTAAATCTGCTTTTCTTTTCCCAACATTTCTATTTCTATAATTCCTTGTTTTTCGTCTTCCTACACGTTGTACTAATGCCAACAGTCCTAGTTTTTCCGAATCCCCCTTCAAACTGCTTGTTGGAGCCTCCAATACTTTGTCAAATCAGAAAAGAGTCACTAGCTAAGACCTTAGAACCCGGTTTCATCTATGTTTACTTTCTCCAAAGCATAAATACATGATCCTAATGTGTTCGTTCGATTAATGTGACCTAGCTAGTACAACAAACCAACAGGATTCGCCTTTTTGTATATCGAGATTTGACTGCGATTCCTCATGCCCTCATAGATATATTGTGAAGTTCCAAACCAAAACAGGCTTTCCTATACTGAATTACAGTATTCAATCGCTTATGCACCGGTTAAATGGTACTGAAGGACACAAACACTCCGTTGTCTCTATCGTTTTTGCCTACGCTCTCACTGACTACAGTTCAGATGATAAAAATGACGTTTTACAAAAAGCTTTCTAATCTTTAAAATACCAAGTGCTCAAACGTAGTAATTGTAGCAGGTAATTCCAACACTCAAGTACGTAGGCTAACTCAAGCTGGTAGACACTTAATTGTGTCTCTTGGCGACTCAAGACAGTGAACAATTATCCCAAGATAACTGTTATTCTTAGAAAGTAGGAACTTTAAGTATAATGAGAAACATTGTTTAACCTTTCAACCCTTAAGATTAATACAAATGCGCTGGTACGGCCGAGAGTGGGGAGAGTCCGCTCTCTCTCTCGAAACACTCACATGACCACGCATATATAGCCTCTGCCAGGGAAGTCCTACTCACTGCCTTCTCGTGGCGGAGGTGTTGTTTACGAAAATGAGAGGATGAAAATCGAATGTCCGGCACTTTAACCGGATTCCAAACCAAATCAATGGTCTACATGGGCTCCAGTATCGTGCAGGAACAACTGGCGTATGAACCAATCGTTGGTCACCGACTTCCATGGGATTGCATCTCCTTACGATGCTCCAGTGCCTTGTGGATCAGACCTTCAGGTCGAAGGCTCGGGGAGTGGCCCCCTAATAAAACCACCTGCTTCGGTTTGGGCACCCGGGCAGTATCACAGCCCCCACACACATATCGAATGAGATTTGTGTGGCGCATATGTATTTGGTACCTCCTTGTACCAATATGTGTTAAAATAAAATAAAATAAAAATACATAAACATTGGTACAAGGAGGCACCAGTTGTATATGCACTACACTTCGTCATTCGATTTATGTGACAGCTCGGATACCGCCCGGTTTACCAAACTGAACCTGGCGGTTTTTTAGGGGACCATTCCGCGAACCTTTGACCTAAAGGTCTAGTCCACAAGACGGCGAGGCAACGTTGGGAGATGCAGTCCCATGGTAGTCGGTGGCCAACGATAGGTTCGTGTGTCATCTGTCCCCCCAGATTCCTAGAGCCCGCTTGCACCAATGGCTTGGTGTCAAGGTTTCCATCTCCCTTAGATAGATTCTTCGTATCCGACAACCCAGTCAAAGCGCCGGACATTCTCTTTTCGTCCTCTCAATTTCGTGAATAACACCCCCATTGAGAGAAGGCTGCTAGTAGGACCTCCCTGTCAGTGGCTGTATGCTGGTTTGGCCGCCCCTAACCTTATTCCAACGATCCACAACACTAGTCAGCATTGAGCGTTGTGGTAATCGGTGCTCAGGCGTATATAACACGTGACCCAACCATCTCAATCGATGAAGATTTACGACCTAATCAAATGACTTACCATCCTCATTCCCTAATACCCTGAGTCTGACCTCACTATTACTTACCTGGTGATTCTAACACATGCGATCAATATTTCTAAGATATTTGTAATCAAATGCTAGTAACTTACGAGTATCCTCTACCCTTAATGGTCACGTTTCCCAGCCGTCAAGTAGAACAGAATGAACTGCCACGCAGTATACTCATCCCTTAATTGAAAGACGGATATCTCGCCTTCGCCATATGTCACGTAAGTTGACAAACGCCAAACGAGCTTTACTGAATTGATGCAGAGATTTCGTCAGACACCAACCCATCAGGGCTGATCAGACTTCCAATTTAAGTGAAGCTGTCAGCGCATCTAAACATCCCGGTATTGTTTCCCAGTTCTACCAAGAGACTGCATTTTATCAGCGTTCTCACCAAACAGGACTATGTCATCTGCATATTCTAAGTCGATAAGTGGATCTCCTGGTAGGCGATGAATGCCCGAAAATCTAGACAAGAACATCATCTCCAGCAGTTTTTCTATAATGGAGATAGTGAACAGCCTTGTCGAACATCACTTGAGGTTGCAAAGTCAGATGACAGCTCTGACTCGACTGGTAGTGTTCGAGTAAATGACCTAATATGCGCAAACGACATCTACTTATTTCCATCTTTTGTTAAACACGTGATTGAAACAGATCATAAGATTAATTGTATATAAAAGCTGTCTATGGAGACTACTTGGGTTTGTCGAAATCTTAGCCATACAAAATTTCAACTTCCTTCTGTATGTTAAAAAGAGATTCGTAATTACACTAAACCTGCCTATCTCGGTAGTATTGACTTATTATCTTGGTTTTTCCCCCTAATTTTCGTCACTTGTTTTGAGATGTCGGTCTACCAATGAAGAGACTGGCATTCTGCACACTGATTCGTTGTGCGTCACTAAATGATTGTGTTAGCCTTTAGAAATAGAGGATATTCGTAAGTTATTGGTACTTGATCGTTGAGACCTTCGATGGATTGCTTTCAAAACTACCGAATGTGGACAGTTGGTGTCAGATGCATGGTAGTAGGTACTTATGTCAAACTGGTTGACGAGATTTTGGATTTCCATCAACTGATGTAGCAGTCGGTACATGTAATACACATACCAACCACCACCTACCATGACACACGATGTTATACTGACAAGTGTAGGCTCGAAGCAGTCTAAGAGCTGCTAAACCAAAACACGAGACCAGTTCATGAAGTCATTAACGGCTGGTTTAGGCCGTGCTAGTAAGTGTAGACTGCATAATTGGGGTTCAAGTGGTTGGAGCTTTTAGATGAAATGGCTCAGAATCAGTCATAAGAGCGCAAATTCTCTCACTCTTTTTCTTCCCCTGAAATACTTTATTCCACGAATTCACTCCGCTTGAACCATGCTCTCTATACTTAATATTTTTTCACTATCACTGATACCACTATTATTTCTACCACCTTGCGAAGGAACCTGAAGCAACTGGTATTTTAATCAATTTTTGTTGTTTATACGATCATGACAGACAAGCCCAAGCATTATGTATAGGTAGCAGCTGTGGTCGCATCTAAGTTCAGTGACGAGTTACAGTTTATTTATGTATAATTCACATTCTTTTACCTGTATTTAACTCACAAAATCCACCCTGAGTGTTTTATTTTTCATTCCTCACTTGTTCTACAGTTAATCGGTCGAAATTTATTCACATGGCCGTAAGTGGCGAAAGACTAGGGAAGTCAAGCACCCGTGTTAGTAGTGATCTATCCTTAAACAATGCAAGCACTCATAATATTGGCAAGAATAGTCTGATAGTATCTAACTGGCCTGATACTGTCATTCCACAAATTTCCACTATCAGATGTCAAGCAAATCAACCACCACTATCTTCATCACCGGTACTGAGTGCGTGTGGTGCTATTTATGGTCAACTGGTAACAGCAGACCAATTATGCCAGTTGGAACAGCATTCAACCACGAATACAAATGATGAAATTACTAAGCCAATTGACGTCGGACAAAAGAAAGCTAGTTTGTGTCTAACTAGTGTGAAATCAACACCATATGAAAATAAAATTCAAAAAGCTGTATCAATAATTAGTACTAACGTAACTTCCAGTACAAATGTTTGCCAACCTACTTCTCAGATAATAGTGGCTCAGTCAGCTTATGCCAATTTAGATCCAACAGTCACTAAAATACAACAACATACTAACAGAGATATTCATCAACCTATGGAATTATCGCATTCACTTGGTTCAGAATCATTTATATTTTCATGCCATTCCGATATTCAACCGACCGCAATGGACATAGGCGGACAACCAGGTAGTCCATCATTATCAAAAAATCTTACAACTGTAGTATCTAGTTGTTTACTTCAAAGTAGTACTTCGCAGAGCGGATTAAATACTTACTGTTATCCTATTTTTCCATTTCCTGTTTCCACTGCGGATGAAATTACTTGTAATTCAACATTATGTAACCACGTCAAAGATGCTGGATTAGGCAGTAATACTCGTGGTACTATAGTTGCTCATTGTGAACCGATAGTAAATGTTAGTAATCAATACCCCTGTCCACGAGATTTAGAACAACGACCTGTCATGAAAATGTCAGTGAATCTTATTCGAACTTATAAAAATATTAATGAGGTAAGTTCTGTTAAATTATGCACCATGAAAAAGATATTTCAATAATTCATGTTAATGCTTGCAGTTCACAAACCTTGTCATTTTTCTTGTTCCCCAATGCACAAAAATCTACTGTAATATTTATAAGATTAAAAATAATATGTTTATGAAAGTTTTGTGGTAATTAGGCAATTCATTTTTTTGACTAATATACAATTTCATTCACTCGAAAACAGTGTTTGGATTAAAGAATCTAATTTATCTGTAAATGTTATTCGAGAAGAAATCACTGTAGCTCTAGGGAGTAGCCATAATGGACGGGGTCTAATTATGCTGGGTATGAGGCAGTTACCAACTAAGGACAGTAGACGATAGTTGAGCAATATCGCGAGTTAATCGATGTTTCACATTTGGACCTCTGAATACTGACTCAGTGGTCTAGAGGTTAAGTTCTCTTCAAGAAATTCCAAGCTCTCAAGTTCCATTCCCTATGGAGTCGTGGATGTGCACTGCTGAATAGTTCGATACTAAAATAAAATAGCTGTCCACTCCTCCCTGATTCCTAGTATTTGTCAGCTTGTCGTCTCAATAATATTCAACAATGTCTACAAAACACATATAACAATAGTTACCTACAAATATCCTATTACCTTGATATCTCTTGTATTTATTCGAATAAAAGAAAAACTATCCTACCGTTAATGTTTAATTCTGTGGACCAGTGTTCTTATTCAGATCTACTGTGTAAGTTACAAGTTTTCTCAATTTTTGGAATAACTAACATTCAAAGTTTATTCAAGTTTATATTATTTTTTGATTGAGATCATGAACTGATTGGTGTTAGACTACCATTGAAAACCTGGAAGCGCTGGACGACCGTTTCGTCCTCAGCAGTGCATGTCCACGATCCCGCTCGCGGGATTCGAACCCTGGGCCTTCAGTCTCGCGCGCGAACGTTTAACCTACTGGACCACTGAGCCGGGGTCCAATGGTGTTAATGTCTAACCTCAACCAATCCACGAAGTTGCGCGACCATCTTCCATTGTACTGAGGTAGACACCTGTTTCTACCGACACGGATTAGCTCCACTGGTCACGGCTTCTTAATGGGACGAAACGGTCGTCCATTGTTTTCAGATTTTCAATGGTGGTCTAACATCAATCGGTTCATGATCTCAATAAAAAAAAACTTAACAATCTCCGCAACCCCTAAACTGATACTTATTTATATTAGTCAAATAATTTTCTTATTTGTTTTTACGTATTAATTTAGAAAATCTTGATAAAATCTGTTAGTTCTTATAACCTTTCCGTACCATCCAGACTGTCTCATCTGTTATTTACTCAGTCATTTGTGTCGTCTAAGATGGTCAAGCACAATAACACTTATATTGCTCAGCTAAGTTTACCACGATTTCCAGCTCTAAAAATCAGATATATATCCTCATCCCCGTTACTGATTTTAACTTTCATGAATTAACTTTATTTGGGATCAATTCATTGAGCGATGAAATAGAAAATATGTATTACACATAAGTTTAATCAGAAGTAAGATAAAATAAATGACTGATTTTCCTTTATGTTTGAACCAAAACGGATAAGTTGGATCAATCATATGTTGTAAATGAGTAGGCTTATCATATTTAGCGTTGTTCTTTTTTTGTTGTTGTCAATTACCACCAACATTTCGATTTCTATTCGTCTTAATGATAATCTAAAAATAGTTATTTAGACTTTTATTGATCGAAATTATATTTAGCTGGGCTGTTATATTATTATTATTATTATTATTATTATTATTATTGTCATCTATATTATCTTAATCATGATTTGTCTGTATATTTAAGTCTAGATGAGTTTGTTCAAAATTTCTGTATTGGGACATCAAATAAAATATCCTAGAAACTATATAATTGATAAGGATTTTTTTAAAAAGTATTTTTGAGCGATAAATCACATTGAATATACTCGTTACTTATCGTCTGTGACCTTTCTCTGTTGGGTTATTATTCTGAACTAATTAATTATTTTATATAATATAATAAAGGATTAAAAGTATTTCGTACAAATTGATTAGTTTATATCTTCACTGATGGGTTCTTCGTGTAGACGCATAGATTTGTTAATGTAAGATTACATCACTATATTTATTAATGTGTTCAAAAGGAGATGGTTATTAATCTTTCCTTGCCTTGGTAACTAATATTCCTTCGTTGTATCTTAATATGTTCTTTTTTCCTTTTCCTTTGAACTCTTTCTTTTTTTATATTATTATCATTAGCTTTATTCAATATTATACTTTTGGTACAATATAGAATTCTCAGCGCAAAGTATTTCAACAAGTTTCTATTTCTTTCTTCTTGGTCGGTCCTGGCGATAAATATTGAGTGATCGCCAGTTAGATGTTAGCAGTTCACTAAATGAACATCTGAATAATGTGCATTCTTCCCGTTGTATATTATCAGTAACCACATTGTCTCTTATTGAGTTTTTGTAACTTTGACAACGAAAGATTGTACACTTTTTAGAAACGCAGCAGAATAGGTTATGCGATTAATAGACATAATGATATATTAAAACAAACAAAAATAGATAAGTTATTGAAATATCTAGATGGCAGGAACAGGTAGCCCAGATGCTCAAGCAGGCCGCTACATTTATCACATCATTGAGTATTATTCCAACTATCTTTCAAATTAATAATCTTATTTTATCAACTAACCTCTACTCATTTTATTCCTATCAATGTTTACTTGTTTCTAGCCGTTTGAACTGTTGTCACAATGTTTTTTTACAAAATAAGGTATATATTTACAATATTCAGTCTATTAAATTTATTTATACTATACTAATGTGTCTTCGACGTAACTTCCAACCAAACCGTCTCATGTAAATAATTTAAACCCATTATGTGATGAATGATTTCTAAATATCACAGGTTGTAAGCAGTTGACGAGAACCAAACGAAATAAAAATGAATTCATGCTATTCTGTTAAAATGTTTGTTCTTGCTCTTTTCAAAATGATAAAGGAAACTATGTGTATAGATATTATATAATTGTTAGTGGGATAAAATACACATGGTTCTTTCCATTTGATACACTTTTCTTGGTATGTTGTACATGAATCTCAAGAATTCAGTATTTCTATTGATTTGGAAGTAGCTCTATTTTATTCAAATCTAAACTACTCAATTACAATTATGTATTTACTTGTTAATTCCTCAAAAAGAGATTAACCTATCTTTATTTAATGTAAAAAGAATTATTGCAACAAACGAAAGCTACCTTAGAAGATACTTGTATTGTTTCATAATTTGTACGAGAGAGTTAATTATTAAGGAAAATTTGCGGATTACTAAAAAGTTGATTATTCACATCTAAACAACATACTACTTAAGAATCAGTTATAATCAACGTGCAATTCGGAACAAATGTACGTTAACCCATGTTGCCGTATCATATCAGAATCATGCGATGGATGCAATGGATGTAATAAGTAGTAAAGGAATTGAAATAATTATGATACCATTGTTAGCGGAAAGGACTAAACATTGAAAGTATAGTTATGTATGAAAGCAATATATATGAGAAAATAAACTGAATGCTTAGCCATGTTACCTAACGTCCAACTACTGATCATGTTTATTCCTCTGATCCCTCTTAGGTGGTCTCTATCCATTAACCATGAATTCATTAACTATATTTGACTGAGCCGTTTTGGTACGTTCAGTCTACCTATAGAGTCCGTGTAATTATCTTAACCTCTTCTACCTCTTATCCAACCTTTAATATCATCATATTTTACTAATTCAATCAATTATTTTAAAGTAATTTCATATTGTAAAACTATTAAAAATGTATTTGTTTGCTTACTTTTTTCAGTCTTATTTGAGTAATATTTCGTCTTGTTTTTTTCTTTCTGTAAGCCTAGAATTATTTTTGTTATTAACACTTCTATTGAGAGAAATTCTGCGCTGGTTCTTTTTTTTATTTATTGTCTAATATGTTGTTTGTTTATTTTTTTTTATTATTATTATTGGACATTTGACATTCTCATCATTTAGAAAATCCTTAAATATACGAATTTCTCAAAACTCCGATTTTTTTTTCCTAATAATAAAAAAAAAGGAACTAAACAAACTTGTTTAAGTGTAACACGAAGATTAGTTGTTGAGAAAAATATATGAATTAAAGTTCTGTATGTTTAAGAATATGATTACTTAACTGTTAAAAGTTAGTAAAAAAAAATCCACTTATCTTTTCTTTCTTTTAGGTCTACTATCGAAAGAAACGTCGTATTAGAGAACAAATTAGTGAGGATAGTATTCAAAAAAGAGATCGTAAAGGTTCTGTTACTTTTGGTAATGGTGGTAGTGGATTGGTTCCTTCATGTCAAAATGGATCTACAGGAAGTTTAACAGGAGTTAATGTTGCAACTGTAGCAAATACAGCTGCATTAACATGTCACTATCATCATTATCATCATCACCATCATCATTGTGTAGCACCACAGTCGTCTACATTATCATCACAAATTCCTATGGTACCTCCACATCGATGTGGTATTGGTTGTAATAATAATAATAATAATCTTGTCACAGGGTCTATTTGTTGTACATCATCTTCAGATTTACAAACACGATCATCCGGAGTCAATGGCATTATCCAATCACGACATCAAGGTCCTTCTATAGTTCAAATGAAACATCTTCACCATTCAACTATTCTTCATCCTAATCAACATCCTATTTCCAAAGATCTAACTACTTCACATCTCTCTCACCATTCTCAACAACATATCTACGATCAAGGTAAATTATATCGCTTGAATTATTAGATGATGCTAAGCATTCGAATTTCATTAGTGAACTAGATTTCCTATATACAATTTTTCTTATCTATATATAGTATAGACGTCTGACTTTCAGTTAAATAGATTAAGAATTTCCATGTAATTTAAACAATTTAGTGTAATTATCTAGTTAGTACTTGTAACTTCACAATTATAATGAGTTATAGTATTGTAGGTGTACTTGTACAGTTTGAGTTGGTTTTTTATTTGTTTCTGTATTTGTCTCTTCTGTTTCCTTTATTGTCCACCAAGATAGAATAGTTCCTTTCAAATTAAGTACGCTGCATCATCTAGTGTTCAGTATCAACAGGATTTTCCTTATTGATTTTGTGTAGTGATATAACACCATAATGTCTAGAATCTAATATTTTATTTATATCAACAAGGACTGACTAGTTCGTGGAATAGTTGGTTAGGTCTACGTTGCGGCAATTTTCAGTTGGTTTGTACCCTAATATATATGCTGTCATTTTTGTTAAACAATATTTATAGTAAATTAACTCATCCATCAAGCACATGAGCTTGAGCGCTAACAATGCTCACCCGGCTGTCCAGACAGGAGTAGAGCGGGGTTCAAACCCGGGATTTAATGGCTGAAAGTTAAACGGCTTAATAGCCTTTTCATCGCCCCACTGATATACAGTGCTTATAAAGTTAACAAATCTATGTACCAATCTAAAAAGAGCTGCTTAATTTCATTTCGCTGTTCTTGCAATGATGCAAGATAATTTATGGCAAAAACATTATATGCACCTACGTTCGTTTGGTAAATATGAAGTTATCAGTTTAAAACTTCTCTTCATTGTAGGTTACATATCCCTTATTATTGTTCGACCGCTACTACTGCTAGTAATAGCAGGAGTACGTTTGTCACATTACATATAGACAGGCTAATGCAAAAGCGTAAAACTCGTAAAATAACATCATTAATTAAAACAGACAGCGTTTCAAATAATTTTTAATGTAAGTAGAAAGCTGTCGAAGACAGTGAGCTTTCGTCTTACCACTGCTAAAGTTTTTGCTATACATCTGAATAAACTAGAACTGTGTAGATAAAATAAATTTATCAAACTCCTTCCTCTACCATGGTTTTAATCTCATTTTTCTTCTAAAGACCATCACCTCCCCTTTTCCTTTGTTTATTGACCTTTTATATTCCACCGACTCATTTGTGTTTCCATGCTCTTCCTGACTACAGTTCATCTCAACTTCAACCTTTCTCTTACAACGATTAATAGTTATTTATCTTAATGTCATTCAGGGTCTCTAACCATCGGTTGCTATCATCTCGCGGTCCCCAACCAGGTAGTCTACACTTACCAACATGACTCAGTCCGCTTGTCAGTGACTTCATGGACTTGTGCCATGTTTTGGTCTGGCCGCCCCTAGCTTTCTTCCAACCTACTCCTATACCACTGAACATAGCACGTCGAGGCAGTCGGTCGTTGAGCATACGTAACACGTATCCCAGCCATCTCAACTGATGAAGTTTCACCACTTTATCAATTGATTTGCCATCCTTACATAGTACCCGTTTCCTAACAACTGTGTTACTTACTCGATGGTCCCATGATATACGAGCAATGTTTCGAAGACACCTATGATCGAATACTAGTAACCTATGATTATCCTCTACTATTACCGACCACGTTTCACTACTGTAAAGTAGGACGGAACGAACTGCTGCGCAGTAAACTCGTCCTTTGGTTGATAGACGGATATCTCGCCTATGTCATAAATGACGCAATTTGGCGAAAGTAAGCTAGTCGAGCCTCCTCTATCCGTGCTGAGATTCCGTCACACACCAGACCACAAGGGCTGATAAGACTTCCAAGATAAGTGAAGCGATCGACACGCTCAACTACATTATTATTATTGATCATTTTTGAATATAGATATAATTTTGCGACTGTAGCTTTTTAACAGTGTGAATTCTCTGAGAAAAAGCTTTTCAATAAAGGGTTGTGGAGATTGTTAAACTTCATTGAAATCATGAACTGATTTATGTAACACTAACATTGAAAACCACTTTTATGGAATAGAATTGAAAATAAAATTTGAAATAGTGTGAAATTATATATGGATATAAGAGGTATTATTAGTATTGACTTTTTTTTTCAAAATATTTATAGATTATGGATGTAAGTTAGTTAAAAGAGAATCCGCCTTAATATCAACAGTTTCATTCACTTTTTGTTTTCCCATTTTTTGAGCTAGGGTTTCAAAACTTATTTTACAATGCTTTGTTCCACTAATCTATATTATCCTCTCGAACCGTATCTTCGATACCTAATCTTCCCTATTATCACTGATACTGTTACTAACTCGACTATTCTTGGATTTTGTCGGACAATTTCATCTCTTTGTGCTAATGGGGTATAGCAATTTGAACGGATGTACATACGTACCAGGTTTTACGTTTTGACTGACTGACTGACTTTATGATGTGAATCATGTTCTCTTTGTTGTCTAATGTACTTTTTTCATTATTCTCACCAATACTAAATATTCTTATATTTCTCTTCTTACGTTTTTTTTATGTCAACAATGTGTGTGCATGTGAACAGGTTCATCATTTCCTTCTTGTAATCCGTCTAAATCATATCCATTGACTAATTTGAATATTGTTACCACTGCTTCTGGATTTCGTACTGGACTCACATTAACATCAACAAGTGTTGGGACTGGTCCATCTGTATACTCTTGTCAAATACAATCAAATTCTGTTTGTCAATCATCATCAGCATCATCGTCTGTATATCCATCACATCATCATCATCATCATGGACTTGTGCGTATTGGTGATGTATGGTATAATCGTTATAAAATTCTAGCCTTAATTGGGAAAGGTACATTTGGTCAAGTAAGTCTTTATAATTTACGTTTTTCTGTTTTATAATTTTGTTAATTTATTTAGATTGAAATGTATTATGATAAAAATATGGTTGTAAGAAAGAGCTAATCAAAAGCAAGAATATAACTTGTTGGTTTTTGAGCGAGATTCAATTATCACTTATTATATGAATAGTAGAAACACCTTTGTATGTTGTTCAACAAAACGTTTAAAATGATGACAAGAATTACTTTTAGTTACCATAACAATATTTAACTCTCTCTTCGAATATTATACAACTGGCAAATGGACATTAGGTGCTATATTATTAAATCTTAATTCTAAATTTGTAATCTTGGAATAAATCTCAATCTGATAGTGATATATTTTATGGGCAAATAATCAGATACCACATCTTGGATTTTCGCATGAAATTCATTCATTCATATGGCTACATTGAAGAGGAAACTAGGAGAAGACCCTGGAGATGGATAGGACACATTGCGGAAATCATCAAACTAAATCACGAGACAAACCCTAGTTTGGAATCCTAAAGGAAAATAGACAAATCAAAGAATTCATTGCCCTGTGAATTCGAGGCAAACATCAAAAGAATGAATAACATTTGTCAACGACTGGAAAGGGGAGCTCAGGAAGGAGTAGGTTAAAGAATCCTGGTCGGGGGCCTCTGCTCTAACACATAGGTAACAGGCGTAAGTGAGTACATGATATGGCTACAGTGAGCACTTTTGAATGACAGTTTGTGATAAAAAGAGCCACTAATGTTAATTGGAACACGGCTGGTGAAGAGTACTCTTCGAAATCAATCAAGGTTTGAGTAAACCGTATTATTTATGACCATAACGACGAATTTGCACGTAGTTTTCTCTCAGTTATTGGCAGAGTAAGCTATAGACGAAATTTAAACAGATCCATTAAATATGTAAAATCTGTCTACACTTTATAATCTGATTGTTTTCTTTTCCATAAATTATCCATTTATAAAAACTGTCTTCTGATTGGCTAAGAACTAATTGGTTAAAAACAAGTCGCAGTTATTTTAAGCTCCTCCTTGTCCTATACTCTTCCCGTTATTACTTCGAACCAACGGTACAATTTATAGATACATGCATGCATATCTTTTTTCTATATCGTGCAAAATTACCTGATTCTACTTATTTTTACCTAAAATTTACTGTGTGCTTATTTATTTTTTTCAAATTTTGATGCTTGTGTGTTGGTTTCGAGAACCTTGTGATACTTTCTATATACGTACATATGCATATGTGTACATATATGTGTACTCCATATTATATTGATCGACATAATAGATAGACAGATACAATGGTGAAAATTTTAGCATTATATTAGCAATATCAATGGTAGTGCGGTTGGTTGTAATGTTAAAAGTAGTATTAATAGTAGTAGTTTCTGTCGGAATTGTAATACAGTAACAATAGCTGTAAAAAAATAATAGTACATATATGGCCGTAAACACGATGAATCATTTTTGGTAAATCACTGTGCCGGTTTATGTGTGTGTACATTTAAGTCAGCTAGTTGAACAGTAGGTTGGTTAATATCGTGTAAGCTAATCATGCTGTATGTATGTATGTTCTCTGTGATATCGCCACCCATCACCACACCTGTATGTTATGCTTCATAGTATAGTTATAGATGTGATTTACAAGTGCACACGCAGACATACACACATAGGTAGTAAGTGCAAAGACACATACATACATATTTTGGACATATACAATGTTTATGTCTAACTGTCTGTATGACTGTCTGACTGTATGCGACTTGTGTTGCTATGATATTTTTCTCACTATTACTTCGTACATACATAATATATATTTATATAATCGATGCTCTTTTGGGTTTCACAACTCTACTTACGTACACATACATACCTGCATACATAGATTGATATCTGTACACACTCAAGTGCCGCTTTTAACCGACTTGATTTTACGTTGGTTAATCTCAGATAAATTGGTGCTTTACTTCATCCTCATTGTGTTGTTCTGATTAATTACGGTGATTTTTTCTCTATCTTGCCCTTTTTCCATGTTTTTTTTGTGAGCATTAAACATGTCACGCGTTGTGAATTTCACCATGTTCCTCTAAGTAGTGTTTAAATATATACTATTTGTAATGGAATATAATCAATGCCGTTTTAGCCAGTGTTAAATGTTCAAGATTTGTCTGTTTGTTCTCTTTGTTGATAATAAATGTCAATAAGTATCTGATTTTCAGACTAGTGAGTTTTTTTTTTTAAATAACCATGTTTAATTCGTTAGTAATTTTAGTCTGAACAAATATCCACAAATCACTTAACTAAAGAAAATTCTAATCATTATAAGAGGTTTGTAGAGATTGTTGAATTGCATAGTTTATGTCACAGACTGATACTAGTTAGGTAATCATTAAAGATTAGGTGATGTTGGAAAACCCGACCGAAGCTGCTACCTTAACGCGGTGGTCGGGCTTGCCTATCGTGATGACCCGATCGAGCTATATTGGCTGGAACATATGTTCCTGTAGGTTCTACCATGCCAGGCAGGTCGATTGGAGAACAGTAAGACTAAAAGCAGCAACTCAAGGTCTGAGGACGAAGTCGTACTGCTGACTGTAGAGGGGTGTGACAGCAGTAAGGTATTTCCCTCAGACAACCAGCATGACAGCGATGCTGCCTTCCCACAAGGAGGGGTGGGGTTAGAAAAGGTCGACCCTAAAAGTGCCACACCTCACCTTACCTCACGGATTTCCGTCTCCGGCGGTAAGGCCCTTTGAAGGACGGAGCTAACACATTGAAAACCTTCCACGAAAAGGCTGTGCGCGACCGGCCTCAAGCAGTTGTCCCTTGGGCTCTGCGGTCATGCTCCCAGGTCGTTAAGACCAACACTAATCCAATTTCATTTTCAGGTTCCTCAAGAAATACCCTTCCACGGTGTGGACAGCCGGGAAGTGGCATCAGCCCTGATACCCTTAACAGCACACGAGACCAAGTTGGTCACATTCAAATCCTTCCTACATCTCCTAATACCTCTCTTATCTCCATGGCTAACCTTTCTCACATCTCTTTACCATCTCGCACCGCTAGGGCAAACGATTCGAGTACGCGGAATGCTATTCCTGGTCTCCTGAAACCACGCTCTAAACTATACGTAGGAGCTTTTAACGTCCAAACACTTTGCCAAATAGGACAACAGGCTTCCTTAGCTAGGACTTCAGAATCCCGCGCCATCGATGTGTGCCGCGTCTCGAAACGCGCATACAGGATCCGAGTAGCGTCATTCACTTGACCTCACCATGCCAAAATAAAGAACCGACTCGATTCACACTTCGTATATCTGGAAGCCCTGATTCTGCTTCCCGTGGCCTCGCCGGCGTAGGTATAGCATTGAGTCCTAGGGCAGAACTAGCTCTCTTAGACTGGATCCCAGTAGACAGTCGTTTGTGTGATATCCGGCTGAACGGAACAGTAAGGATCCGAAAAGATAAGGACACTCGTCGTTGCCTCTTCGTCGTCTCTGTCTATTCTCCCACCGAGTGCAGCTCAGATGATGTAAAAGATGAGTTTTACAGAAAGCTCTCCGACCTTCTCCGAAAAGCTAGGCGCTCGGATGTAGTAAAAGTGGCCGGTGACTTTTTTGCTCAAGTAGGTAAACTAAGCGATGGGGAAAGACACCTAGGTGGATCTTATGGTATCGTGGCTCAAAGAACAGAAAATGGCGACCGTCTGTTGCAGCTATGCTCAGATAACCGCCTGTTCCTTGCAATTACTAACTTTAAGCGTAAGGAAAAACATCTTTTGACATGGCGACCCCCTAATTCGTCCCAACGTTGGACCGAAATAGATCACATCACAATCAGCCACCGATGGAGGGGCTCGATAGAAGACTGTCACTCATTCTGGAGCACATGCTTAGATTCAGATCATGCTCTAGTGCGAGCGCGTATCTGTCTGCGTCTTACTGGACGTAGGAAAGATCTTGCAAGGAAACCTCTTAGGGTCCTACTTAATGATAACCAAGCTAAGAGTATATTTCAGGAACAACTAGGAAAACAGTTAGGCAGCCATGTATGTGATGCCCACCCCGATGCAGTATGGAATGATATCCGAAAAGCTGTGGAAACAGCAGTGATATCTGCTAGTAAGGTAAACCAGAAGGTTAGGGAGCAACACTGGATCTCAGCAGTATCTATCGCACTGATAGATGCTCGGAAACTCATCCCACCTGGCTCTGAACATAATGAAGAGCGGAGTCAGCTTAAGTACAAGCTGAAAAGAAGCCTACGCAGTGATCGCGAACAGTGGTGGGTAGCGAAAGCAAGAGAGATGGAAAAGGCAGCGGCAAAAGGTAATAGCAGACAACTGTTCACACTTGTTAAGGAAACCGGTATTAGGAAACCGACTGTCAGCGAAACACTCTCAGAGAAAGATAGACATATTATACATTCTCAATCCAGGAGATTGGATCGATGGGCAGAACACTTTAGGGATCAGTTCAACTGGCCTTCAGCCACACTTCGGTTTCCCACGATCTCCAGTCAACCTGAATGGCAAGTTAGTGTAGGTCCTCCGACTCTTTACGAAGTTGAAAAAGCCATAGGAAATCTGAAACGAGGGAGAGCAGCAGGCCCTGACAGGTTTACTCCTGAGATTTTTAAGGATGGTGGTCCAGTATTAGCAGTGAGATTAACTGAGGTCTTAGGTAGAATTTAGGAACTGGACGTAATCCCATCTGACTGGTCTCAATCACTGATTGTGCCAGTCTATAAGAAAGGACAAAAGTCCTCTTGTGACAATCACAGAAAAATCAGTTTGACTAATATAGTGTCTAAAATATTAGCTTCAATAATTCTTCGACGCCTAACCAATGCTCGTGAAGAACAGACTAGAGAAAATCAGGCTGGTTTTCGACCTGGACGTGGTTGTATAGACCAGATATTCACACTACGTCAGGTTCTAGAACACCAAAGGACGTGTTTACTGCGCTGCAGTTCGTTCCGTCCTACAT